AACACAGGTTACTTCAAAGATTATGATTTATATGTGAAAATTAGTGCTGAGTAAGCTGACTACTTCAGGGAATAGAAAGCGCTCCCTGATACTTCTTCGGAAAAATTCGAAGTGGCTCCCCTAGCCACCACCAGGAGAGAGAAGTCAAGAAAATCTCTTAGGGTCTGATGCAAACGATGGGTAAGTTATTTCACTCCAACCACTACCTGCCAGTCCAGCAAAATATGCTCTCAAAAAATGTGGCCCATATATGACAACTGCAAATCCCATAATGACCAGCTAGAAATCTGGTACCAACCACAGTTGGAGGTACATACTGAAGCCTGAAGCTACAACAGAGTTCAAGCTCCAACAGCAAATTAGGAACCTTCTTCATACCATGTAAAGGAGCTCTCCCCATTCTGTACCACACTTCTGGTTTCCTCCCTAATGCTTTTTCTTCAGCTTATCAAAATCACTTCAATCTTAATAGCATGAAATCTTAACATCTCAATCTGAAGAGAGTTTTAGCTACAAGTTGCTAATTTCTCCCATGCTGCAGAAAGATTTTAGACACTACACATGAGTCATTTCACACTAGACCTGCCCTCTCTGAATCTCAGATCAGTTTCTTCTGCCTTTATCAGATACTGCAATTCGTTGCCCTTTTCATCACTGGGAAATTGATCTGGCTGTTCTATAAAACCCACTTCTTTCTTGACCTAGCCTATGTGTTCTCCAAATAACCAAAAATCATTTCTGTTTGTAGTTTGTCATAGAATTTATAGATACATTTAGAAACCCAGTACTTTGCATATTATGTCCCCCAAATAAATAAATATTAATGTTAATAAATGGGTCAATAATAAGTAAATTGAAAGAGGCAGTATTTCAGATAGGCTTACTACAGTTTATCTATAGGAGCAAACAGTTATTGCAAAGCCCTGATGAACCACTAGTCTGGGACAAAATTTTTAGAAAAGAGTTTAGTATATAAATGCAATAGTAAGCTGAAAATATTTCAGAAATCTTCGGCTAACTGTCTATGTGAAAACAAGCAATTTTTCCAGAAGTGAAGTTCTTTTTTTTTACTAAACAATTGTACTAAACAAATTTGTTGATTGCCTTCTCCCACTAGAAAGTAAGTTCTGTGAGATCAGGGACTTTGTTTTGCTGTACTCCAGGTGCATGGAATTATATCTGGCAGCTTGGAATGCTTAATAAATATTTGCTGAATAAATTAGTGAATAAATCTGAAGCAGGTAAATCAATCAATGAGTTTTTTTCTGTTTTTTGTAGAAAGCAGGCTGTTTCAATACTTCTGTCAGATACATACTCATAACATATGATACCAAAAATCTAATGGGTTTTATGGGGATCTCACTCTTTCCATGGGGTGAATCTTCCAGAAGTCTGGGAGATTATAGAATGATTCTACTGAAAAGCTCAGTAGGCTGGCACCAACTCTACAGGTATTCATGTAGCCCATGTAACAGCAGGTGTGAAAGTAATTGAAGAGTAAAACCTCCACAGTCTGCTGGGGGGCTGCTAAATGGTGTTACACAAGAAGGGACATGGCTTCCTGACTTCTGCATGCAAAGGGAGCTATTTTTAGGTTGCACTCAGTCTGGAAAACAGAAGAAAGAAGAGATCAAACCTGCCTCTTCCCACTGTCATGTGGCAGAAATATAGAGACAGGCCACAGAGCAAAGGCACAAAGTGGCAGTACTTCACAAAGGGTAATTGTTGCCTAATAAATAGTGGAGGGGCAGTAAAGGAGAGCAGCCATAGTTGAACACAGAAGATGGTAAAAACACATCTGTTGTTGGAGACAAAGAATGCCATGTCATTAGTGTTCACTGTTAAAGAACAATTAGGGTGATATGCCATCAGCTGGCATATGAAATGTAAATAAAATTGGCCAAAAGTCCTTTCCATGTGCTGTAGAAGTGCAGTGCCCACCCCAGAACTGAATCACTTTCCAAGAAAGCCAGGTTCCTATGGCTCTTTGATGCAAACATGAAACTCTGCCTTTTTCTAACTTCACACACTCAAACACATACACACACGGCATTTTTGGGTGTGTAAGTCTCCACTGAACTACTGTGGGTGACAGAGTGGAGAAGGCTGTCTCATAACACACTGCACAACAAACAATCTAGAATTTGTTCTTAGAAGAGCTTCGGCTCACCCCACCTGCAGACCTGCCACTCCACCCCGCTGCGGACTTTCACCCCCTTGCTCCCCGTTCCTTCTTTCCTCCACTGCTTTCTCTTTTCTTCAGCTAGTTCTCTGCAGCAAAACCTAGTCCACTTATTTTCTCATGTGGAGCAGCTTCATCTTTACCTCCTTATGTGGTTGGACTCGTACTCAGAATCTCACCTTTATTCTTAAAGTCTCTTCTTAAACATGAGTTTTCTTCTTAAGAATATTTTTAGTGACAGCCATCCTGATAATAACATTTTTACCCTTCAAAAAAAGATAGGCACCATCCTCAAGCAAAACTCTATGAAAAGAAACCAGCTTGATGCACAGAAGAAGAGATTTATCAAAAAAGTAGAAGAGAAATCTGGACAAGACAGAACAGCACAATTTCTTTAAGATGTTGAAAGTCGGGATCAGAGACTGACAATGTATTTGGTTATCATTTACATATATAAGACAATATTTTAAGTAACTATCATAAATCAATTCTAATTTTATTCTATGGTTATGGAATAGGACATTTTCAATAAGCTCTTTTGTTATTGTTACAAAGCTTCTAGCTAAAGAACTCTTCAAGACATCATGGACTGATTGAACTAAGTGGGCCAGAACTGGTGATTTTAGTCAAATCTTGGTTCTCAGTAAGCCAAACTCCTTCAAGAAAGTGGCTTACTCCTTCTTCCTATTTGGGTGTGTCATATGTTTTACAAACTGTTATCTATCACATAGGAAAAGAATGTTCTGTTAATAAGAGGATTAAAAATATTATACACCCTGTAAGGGCACAAATTCCATAATCTATGGCAGAGATTCTTAAACCGTGGCCCCAGACCAGCAGCATCAGCATCAACCTAGGAGCTTGTTATAAATGCAGGTTCTCAGGCCCCGCCCCACACCTCGTGAATCAGAAACTCCAGGCGCAGAGCATACAATCTGTGTGTTAACAAGGCCTGCACCTGATGCTGATGCCCACCCAAGTCTGCTAACTATGACTCTGGCATCAGTGCACCTCCAGAGCCTCTCAATGATCCATTTTGAATATTTCTAAATGCTGAGTCCATCTGCTGGTCATGCTGTGCTCTGAGGGATGGAATGACTTAAGCCTAGATTGCTCTCCTCACTCACTGTTCAGAGCTCTCTCAACAACTTATAGAGAGCTCAAAGGTCCCAGGGGAAAGATCCATGTCCTTGTCATGAACTACCAGTGCTTAAATGCTCCACCAGAGCCCACAACTCTAAACATTAAGCTTCTGGCTCTCACCTGAGCTCTTGTTCACAGCACTGCTCACCTCTGTTCACATAACCCACATGATGCTACCTTGTCTCCTCAGAGCAACTCACTCACCTCTTCTTTGGGGCTCAACTTTCACTTTGAGTTCCAAAAAATCCAGTGATTTTTACACTTGAGCATGGATCAGACTCATCTGGGGAACTTATTAAAACACAGATTGCTGGCTGGGCCCCACCCCAGAGTTTCTGATTCAATTGGTCTTTTGCATGTAGCCCAAGAATTTGCATTTTTAAAAAGCTCCTGGTTGAAGTTGAAGCTATTGTCCAGGAAACATACTTTGAGAACCACTGTTGAAAGCCAATATCATTATACTTATTTGCAGATGAGTACCTAAAAAAAAAAATCAGTCCAGACCTGGCTTCCTGCCCCTTCTCCAAATGACTAGTCTCTGATGTCTCTTAAGAAATGCAAAGCATCCATCAAGTCAATATATTTGTTTGTCTTTATTGGCAATGACATTTGACTTAAAAAAAAAGTTTTGAGGTGACTTTAATTCTTATTTAGCTATCGGCAGAAATAGTCAATTTACCCAGTGTGCTCAGGGTAATGCTTTTCCTCCCAGGGGAAAGAGTGTTCTCCGTTGCTCCTAAAATCTTCTGGCTTTGGCCTTGACTCCCATTCTCTCCAGCTAAGGGGCAGTTGGGGTGGGAGTGTGGAATCACAGTTCAGAGACCTTGCTCTCATGAGGCAGGGCAACAATGGAAAAGGCAGACAAAATCCTGGCTTTGAAAAGAAAGTGAGACATGACATTAACAATCCTGCCAATGACCAAAATAACTAAATCTCCACTCTTAAAAGGAAGGCCCTCACTTCCCCATCCTTCCCCACCCTGTCCACCAAGCTGGACCCAGAAGTAGAACACAGTTCACGTCGCAGGGCTGCTCCTTCTCCACTTCATCTTCAGAGACCACATTTTCTGCTCCTAGGAAAAGGCACTATGCTAGCAGCTACACAAGGTGCTGTTGTCATCTTCATCCAGAGAGGGAAGCTGAGACCAGAGGAGAGACAGATGCCACTAGGCCAAAAGCCTCATTCCAGATCCCCAATGCCCTATGCTGCCTGCCAGCCCCAGGCAGGTCCCCAGTGCACAGCCCACAACAGAGGCCTGCAGACACTTAGGGACTTGCCACTGGAAAACATAGTGGTGGCCTGTGGCTTACCTTTCTTGAGTTCACCGCTCCCCCTAGGGTTGGGGCTCTTAGGAGGGCTGTATTGGTGTACCTGAGGCATAAGGTCATGTGTCACTTGCTAGTTTCTCCCTGTGAAAGCAGAAAGTCAATATCCAACCTTCCCCCAACCCATGCTAGCCTCAACTGTTGATTCAAGTGCCAAAGGTCCTGGGGGAATAGTATGTAAATGCCTCTGCTAACTGCCTTTTGCTTTTCCCCGTGGTTCCCAGGAGCATAAAATATGAGAAGTGAAACTGAGCATGTCACCCTGTTAATGAGGGGAGAGGAAGAACCACCCTGAAGACCTTTTTTACCCGGCTTGTTATTTTTCTGCTAGTCACACACAGGCCCTCACCATGAAGGGGTTCGCTGCCTTCTTCATCTGGACTCTGATTTCTTCTGAGGATTGTGGCAGCCAAGCCTGGCCCACCCACACAGTCTGCAAGGACGGGGGCTTGGAAGTGCTCTACCAAAGTTGTGGTAAGTTCCTTCAAAATCATTTTGTGTTTTGGGGAAAATTAAGCCTCACAAATATGGGCTACAGTAGAGCTTAGTTGTGGTGGGTAAAGGGTGTGGGGACCAATGGCCGAACACTTTCTCCCCTTGCAGCAGGTACGCAAGGGCCACTTGGAGCCCTTGGGAGAGGGAGGGGAGGGGGTAGAGCCTGAATAGAGTGACAAAGAGGACAAGAAAAATATGTCAAGAACCTAAATACAGCAATTTACTAATATGACACAGCCAGAAAAAGAACACAGTGACAAATGTGCCTACCAGTCATGAAACCTCATCTGTTCAAAGTTAGAAAAAGATGCTCCAATCCACTACCCCCCACCCCCTGCAAAATGGTATCCCTGGATAGTTTATTTAGTTTGTGAGTTGAATGAAAAGATCACTTAGGCTAAAGAGAACAGTCTTGCCCTTCTTAAGACACTCCTAGAGCTTCTGTTGCAGCAGCATCATTCATCAATTAGACAAAAACTTATCTTGTAGCTATTAATGCCAGGTTTTTCTCTAGTGCTAGACATAACAAAAGGGAATGAGCCTTGGTTGTTATCCCAATGGGGCAAACAGATAAACCAACAGAAATGGCAATCTAATGAACAGAATGCAGGGAACTGGCGTAATCAGTGTCTGAACGAACACTTTGGGGTTTCTATTAGTCTATTAGGGTTGTCATTACAGAACACCACAGATATGGTGGCTGAAAAAGCAGATATTTATTTCTCACAGCTCTGAAGGCTAAAAGTCCAAGATCAAGGTGTCAGCAGCGTTGGTTTCTCCTGAGGCCTCTCCCCTTGGCTTACAGGTGGCTGTCTTCTGCTTGTGTCCTCACATGGTCTTTCCTCTGTGCCCACACATTCCCAGGGTGTCTCTCCCTTCTTATAAGGACACCAGACATAATGGATTAAGGCCCATTATTATAACCTCGTTTAACCTTAATCATCTCTTTAAAGGTCCCATCTCCAGATACAGTCATATTCTAAGGTATTGAGCATTAAGACTTCAACATATAAATTAGTAGAGGGACACAATTCAGTGCACTAAGAGGGACTGGATGGGGAGAAATGAGCCTAGCCACAGGATCATATCTTGAATGAAAATTAGAGGGACGGGCTCATGAAAAGACATAGCATTGTAAAATACGACATTTTGGAGATAGACATAGGGCCAGATATTGTTTGGACTGAAGGAGGTGGGAAGGAGATGTATATTAAGCATCTAAGTTGGCCTTACTCTCAGCTGGAGAGTAGTGGACATGTCTCCCTCAAGCAGATAGCTAATCCCTCCAGCCACCGCTCAAGGAGCTGACTATCTGGGCCTCTCTGAAGACAGCACCAATTTAATTTTATTCCTTTAAAAAGAAGGACCATGGAACAGTAAAGTGCACAAAAATATTGTTTTTTTTTAATGCAAAAGAGAATGAATGGCTGAATGTTGGTGTATTGATCTCATCACTCTTGCTCTTCCCATGGGGATGGGATGCTTTCTGCTAGTATCTATTCATTCTAGGTGCAGGATTATACGCAAGATTTGGGATGAATGGACTGCTCAGGGTTTGTTTCCCCAATTTATCCTCCCATAAAAGTTGCCATGGCTCGTCCCTCTCCCTGACCAGCCTTCAGCCTACAGCCAAGCCTGGTACAGCCTTTCAAGTCACCACCAGGAAAGGCAAGAGGGGTAGATATATCAAGGAAAGAACAGGAACATGGTGCTCACCCCCCTGGGGATAACTCCTCCCTCTGCTCTGGGGAGTCAGTGAATGTGGCATAAGCCCTGCTGTAGGCACCCAGAAAAAAAGAATGGAGGAGATGCTGTTCTCTTCCAAGAGTAGTGGGAGTCAAACCATTAAATAACGGGGTAAATGTTCTGTATAAACGGCTGGAATAGAGGCATACATCATGCACCAGGGGACATGGTGGTTGGAGAGAGTGAGGCTGGGGACTAAATCTGTCTGAGGAAGGGTCACCAAGCTCGAGTTTAACCTTATAAGAAAGATACAAATAATAACTATACCATCATGTTCTTGAAAGATTTATATGTGCCTGGCATCATGCCAAGTGCTTTCTCTGTGTTGTTTTACAGATATGTAAACTGAGGGTTAAAGATATCAGGTAACTTTTACAAGGCCACACAAGCAAAAGAGGGAGAGTTACATCCCTGGTGGCTACAGAGAAGGCGCTAAGTAAATATTTGTGCAATTAAGATAAATTGATCTGAGGCCTGTCTGACTCCATAGTCTTTGCTCTTAATCTCCTGCTGTCTATTGTTTTGTCTGAAGGCAAATGGAAGAGAGATGGGGAAGGAGGGAATGGCATGTGTGAAGGAGGGCGATGTGACCAGGCAGAGTTCAGAGCTCTGTGGAAGGGATGAAACACGAAGAGGTGAGAGATGAGGTGGGTGATGTGGGCAGAGCCCCAGTGTGTCAGTTAATTTTAGGCACCAACTTGATTGGGAAAGGGATGCCCAGATAGATGGTTAAAATTATTTCTGGGTGTATCTGTGAGGGTGTTTCCAGGAGAGATTAGCATTTGAATCAGTGGACTGAGTAAAGCAGGTTACCCTCTACAATGTGGATGGGTATTTTCCTAGCTCTTGAGGGCTTATATGGAACAAAAAGGTGCAAGCAGGGGAGTTTGCTCTCTGCCTGACTGCTGAGCTGGGCCCTGTCTCCTGCTTGCAATACTCCTGGTTCCCCAGCCTGCGATCTACACCACTGGCTTTCCTGTGTCTCCGACTCCCCGGTAGCACTTCTCAGCCTCTATAGCTATGGGAGCCCATACCTCAAAATAACTCTCTTTCTAAAATATATGTATTATATGTGATATGTAGCATCTATATTATGCATATATTACTTAAGTAATTCCATTGATTATGTTTCTCTGGAGGACCCTGGCTAATACACCAGGAGACCCAGACAAGGTTGCACTGTATCACTTTGACAATGAGGAGAATGCATTTCGGAAAAGGTCCCTCAGGTAATGGGCAGGAGCATGGATATTAGATTGAAAGCTGGGGCTTCAGGCAGGATTTGTAGTCTATGGAATCAGTAACTTAGGAAAGAAATAATGGGAGACTGACCCAGCATGATTTCAAGAGGCTTAGTGGCAGAGGGCATCTTTGGTACACCTTGAGGTCAGCAGAAAGGAAAGCAGAGTCCTGGGAGTGTCTCTGGAGATGGGCACTGCTTCGTGTCTTGATAGCCATTGAGCCATCAGAACTCAGCTGGTTGCATACCTTTTCTGGATGGAGATGGTCCCCTGTCAGCTGCTGGATGCACAGTAGGGCAGTCCCTCCCCACCCCCCAAGGCCTTCACATTGATAACATAGTGCAAAGGCTATGTGTTATGATACCCTGGCCAGCCTAGGTGTTTAGGGGCTTCAAGAATTCTAATATGTGCAAGGGAGGGTCAGCTGACAAAACAAAGGATTCATCATTTTCTAGGTTTACTATTTAACTTTTCCCTTCTATTTTGTTTTATAATTTTAATGGAAAGGGGTCAAACTGTTCTTCCACTTAGGCTACAAACTGTTCTGAATACAAAAATCCTTGAGAACGAAGGGCTTCATATGTACTCACTGGGCTCCGAATGATGACCAGGAAGTGAGTGAAAATTTCTGAAAAACCAGAAGTCCTGCTCTGTCCAATTGTTAGTGCTACTGTAAAGGAAAGAGCAACAGTCTTTAAAAAGCAAAAGGGGAACAAAAGTAGTCAGGCATCTTTCTCTGGTTAAATCATAACACAATTTTCAGGCCTAGAAAAAGCCCAAGGAAAAAGCCCTAGAAAAAGTTCATGCACAGGCCGCAAATGTCCACCAAGATATTTATATGCTGCATCTACCACACCAAGACATGAGGTAGATTACAAAAGTACTCATAATGGAAGGATGAACTGGTAGTGAGAGAAGCAGGATAAAGGGAGGGAAAACAAAGGGAATAGTAAAGCCAGGGCAATCAGGACACACACAACAGATGAGGCAGTGTATGGGATAAGATCTTGGGTCTGGAGTCAGCAAATCTCATTCCAACAATTGAACAATATTCTCTAAGTCTCCAGTTCTTGGTTGTAAAGAGGGTATATGAGTTTCCTTTAGCTGCTGTAATAAGTTACCACCTGGTGACTTAAAATGGCCCACACTTATTCTTTTAGAGTTCTGGAGGTCAGAAGACCAAAGTCAGTTTCCCTGGTCAAGGCCACACTGTCTTGGAAACTTTGGGGGCAAATCTCTTCCCCTGCCTTTTCCAGCTTTGACAGCTGCATGCTTTGCATTCCTTGGCTCACAGCCTCTTCTTCCATCTTCTAAGCCAATAACACAGCATCTTGCTTCAGCTGTCACATTGCTTTCCTCTGTGTCAAATCTCCCTCTGCCTCCCTCTTAGGAGGACGCTTGTGATTAGGATAATCTCACTATCTCAAGATCCTTACTTTAATCACAATTGCTAACTCTATTTTGCCAATTAAAGTACCATTCAACAGAGGACATGGATATCTTTGGAAGTCATTATTCCTCCCATACAAAAGGAATAATAAATTAACCTACCTCTCAGGTCTGTGTGAGGATTAAGTGCAAAGGACTGCATGAAAAGTGCTGATCACGTACTGCATGCTCAATAAATCTTTGGTGCTGACCATTTTTAAGGTATTTTACGGTCACTAGAGGTATATTTGACTCTGAGCTTTCTTGATACCAAATCAAACAAGGAAATTGCATTATTTATAAGGTAAAACCAGTTTTTAAGGAGATGCCCAGCTTTTCCTGGTATCTGGATGAGCTATGAAAGAAATTTCCTCATGGAGAGATGGCATCCTGGACAGTATCTCAATAGGAGATGCCAAGGTGACTCACGTGTGTTATTTCTCATTGTGCCCCTCAGTATGGACAAAGGACTCATTACTAAAACACAACTCGGGATCAGTTTTGCAATGGGCCACAGTAGAACCTCCCACAAATGCAGCACTTGCAGGTCTGGGATGCTCAGAG